AAAACTGTAATTAACATGATTGATTGATATCGATTCTATTTGAATTTTTACAAATCTTCAAAAACTATATACTTAATACTGAAGCTATGTATTCAATATTGAAATATTTGGAACATTTACATTAACATTTACATGTCATATTTGTTTACTGATACAAAGTAAATTTGATCATTCCGTTAAAAGCGTTCGGCTTAAAATAAATAATGAGGTGTAAAATCCTTGAATTATAGCACGTGGAATATAGATTTTTACATTCTATGTAAGATGGAAATTATTTCCTCGAATAACTGAAGAAAGATACATAAGCACATTACAATCCAAAGCCAGTGACCAGTGTTATTTTGCGCTGTGTAAGCATTTGCATGCACAGCACTTTTTACCTTTTAGCACATATTTCCAGTATACGGAAGTAATTATCGTCAATTGATTGTATAATGAATTTTTCATTACTGCTTTTTATAAAAATACAAAAGTCAAGGTTTAATGATCTCTATTAAACTCAATTGCTCTGATAAAATCTACAATCTTATATATTTGCTTTATATATTATGAATTAAAAATTTGCAAAATATAAAACTTCTATTCTTTGACATTTATTTATTAAAGTTTAATATACATAAATGTAAGTTTTGTATACATTTAAATATTTTTAAATAAAATTTTTAATTATTTCTTTAAGAATAACTATTTTACTTTGTCGTTGCTTTATGAAAAGAATATTATATTCTTACATAAATAATTTAATTGTTCTTACATGCAAATCGCGAATCGACATATGTTGCATATTTCATGTTTCATTACTTTCCGCCATTTATTTAAAGAATATAAATTCTTAGCTAGGAAAAGACAGGGAGCCGCGGTTACGGTCGGATATTTTCCATTTAATAACAGGAAATTAACTACTTTCACGGTGAAACGACAAGACACCGAATGTAAAATTATCGTGTCGCTTTAAACGAAAATCGAAAGAAAGATACGACTTAACATAATAATACAAACAATACATACAATAAGTTACATTAGTCATCAATTATATTATACTCATTTCAAAAGACCGATTTTTAATTTATTCTGTCATTAAATGATATGCTATATATATTTTGCTGCTATTTTGTTAAATCGCAATATTTTAATTCAAATGTTGATTTAGTAACTGTATGTAACCGATGTAAAATACTAATCAAAAAGAATAATTAAAATATTTTATTATCAGGACCATTAGAAAATTTCCATGATTTTTTATATTATTCTTGACGCGCCAAATTCAATAGACCAGGAAGGGGGAGGTATCATTTCACTTTTGAAAACTATGAAACAAAAATTAAAACAAATATAAAATTTCATCTTAATAGGTTGTATCATTTATTCACAATCTACTTTAAAAAAAGCAGTAAATTTTTAAGCTTCCGAATGAGGAAAACTACATAAAGATAATACATAGAGAAATGTATAGCCTGAAACTATCACTGATTGTGAGTCGCATGACGGTCCCTTTCGCTTTCCTTCACATATTGTAACTGGAATATATTTTGCCCGTACGGCTTACAATCTTTCGTTTGGGTTTCGAAATAAAAGTCTAAACGCGATGATTAAATAACATATTTTATACTTTTTAAATAAAGGAAATAAATCATGCAAATTTTAAGTCAATTGATTTTATGATTCGTTAGAAAATAAATTCTTAAAAATAGACTTGAAAACGGTCTTGAAAAAATAAATTTCCTTCTTTAATCTTATCCTTAAATCAGATAAAACTATTGATACACCGTGTGTATCAATATACTAAAGCAAACGTGATTATAAGTCCAAGAAATCTTCTCATAATTATGCAATGATTTAAATAGCCGTCCCGCGAGCTATGATCATAATAGTTTCTATTAGTGTTCCATCCGTGTTACCTCGGAGATTGTCTTCTCGAGAAAAATAATTCTTGCATCTTCTAAAATAACCATTCCAGCGAATAAAATATAAGTTGTTCACAACTATAATATATTACAATAATAATATTACATTATTATATTACCGAAACATACATGTGGCTTACTATCGGGACGATTATATATAAATATGTGTGAAAAATATATTTATTATTATACTCTTTGTTATACGTTTACACATCGGTATATTTAATATCTTGTCGTAATTTAGAGTTTTTCTATTAAAATTGACATTTCTATTATCCTTGTTAAAGATTTATTTTTATGTCATCGGTATATTTAATATCTTGTCGTAATTTAGATTTTTCTAATAAAATTGACATTTCTATTGTCCTTGCTAAAGATTTATTTTTTTATGTCAACAATGCGTCAGAGAGTTTTTTTCTTCGAAAACCGGAAACCCCAGCCGAAATTAAAAAAGAAATATGATGCTCATATATAAATCGGATTTTAAACACATATATGCATACATCATGTGATTACGGATAAATTTTATGAAATCTGACGCTAATTATAAATCAATTAGAGTGAATTTAAAAATTTATGTTAGTCTTGTTTTATGAAATTTTAGTTATATAATTTTAGTTATTTGTTCTTTGCTATTTAATTTATATATTTAGTCTCATTTTATATATATATAAAATGAGACTAAATATATAAATATGTGTATTATAAATGAATGACCAATGTGCAATGTTCTATATCTAAAATCGAATCTTACATAATTTATGTTATTATATTTACATATTATGTTATTATACAATTCATAATTTATAATTATAAATACTTATAATTTAAAAACTGTTGTAATCTCGATATTTTCATGTTTGGATTTTTGTTGTAAAATGATAGGAATTTTTCATTAACTGTTATTACAAGAAATCTGAAATATTCTACATACCATCACTAAAACAATAATTATTTACATTTAATTATGTAAAAGTGTTTGTTAGATATTCATAGCTATCACATATATCCTATGTATACATATATCATAAACATTTTTCTTCAGTTGCATTTTTAAAATTATAACAATTAGTAAAATTTTTTATAACATCCATCTATCATTATTTTACATTTTATTTTTCACTAAAAATTTATAACAATATATGAAAATTAAAAATCTATCGTTAATTTCGGCTTAACATATGCAATATCTTTTATTAATAACAATAATTTTAATTAGAATGACCTCATTTTAGTAGAAGATCAGCTTTTTTCAATTTTATAAATATTTAACAGTTTGTAAAATGTTAATCTAATTGGAAGAAATTTATTTAAGATGATTGTTTTAACCAAGCAATAGTTATTTAAATAATGATACTGTTCTAAAAGTGTAACTAAATTTGTGATAATGAAAAACTCTTATATAAAGATAGCATTCTATTAATAACAATACGCTTTTTAAGATTAGTTATTAATTTATGATCAGTGGCAATTGTAATGGAATGTATGTCTTGTGTGTGCATGTATTAATTTTTAACGTGTTTTTTTATGTGCTTTCGTTTTTTCATGTGTATCTTTAATGCCGAAATAGATTACATGATCAAACATCTATAAAACAGTTATAAAACAGCTATAAAGAAGCATTTCAATATTAAAGTGAATATCTAAACAATTTTAATGTTCTTCATTTCCATAGTTTGTAATATTCAATAATATAAAGTATTGTAAATCAAAAAATACATATACATTCTACTTATTTATTTTCATTCTTATTTATCTTTATTTATAT